GTGATATTCACCTCATAAATTCCTTAATAAGCACCGTTACTGCTGCCTACCAGTGCAGTTATCTCGCTTAAAATTTGTTTTTCGCCGGCTAAACGATCTGTCACCTGACCCTTGTCTTCTGTTTCTACAATGGTAAGGTAACGGATATAAACCAATGTGTATATTTTAAACTTTCACTTAAACGTTGACTTGGCTTTACGGTTTTGTTAGGTATAAAGTTAAATTTAAAAGTAGGTTTGTTTCAGGCGTGGGCGTCGACTACGGAATAAATTTGGGTGAGACGAGGTGACATCAAAGTAGATCTATTCCGCCAAGCAGCCTAAACATGTAAATTTGAGACTTTTTAGCAAACATGTTGTCAGCCACGTCTCGTAAACCGTTAATGCCCAGCTCTTGCTACGCTCGTGCTCACGCTGTCGCTTGAAGTTTCTCAGAAACGCTTAATAATAACGGACGCGAAAACCAAAACACCGATTGGCCACTCGAGAATTATTTATTCTAACACCAACACATAGCAAACTTTACAACAAAGGTCTATGAACAAATATTACAATAATAAATCACAATATTATTACTGAAAGTTTGTCCTGAATTCTTTCTGAACAGCGACCGATGAGACGATGACTGGTGTATCGATGTCTCCGCGAAAATATAGGGAAGTTGGTTTTGAGCAAACAACCATGAATTGATCGTTCAATCTTCAACTACATTGACACTCCCCACCAAAAAAGGGATCCAACCCCTTTTTTCCATCACGACCAATACACGTTGACTTGGATGCCATTGCGAGAACCTGGGTCACACGGACAGAGCTGAAATGGAAAACAAACAGAAAAGCCAACACACCACAAGCATACTCACAGCACAATCTCACCCTACGACGACGACCTACGCCTTCCAGTTAAAGGTGTCCTCTTGACATCTTGCAACACAATCGCCACTTGCTAGAATGACTCTCGCAGAATGCAACGTGACCATAGCACCACCTCACGATACTCTACACACATCCTTTTATCTACTCACTACCAATTACCACTGCAGTCGCTTGTCACTCATTCCGCCTCAGTTCTAGTAACGGTGACGTATGCGAGCCTCAGTCGTTTACACTCTTGCTCCCCGGCGTGTGGGATCACACCTAGCAATTACCTCCGTGTGCATTTCATTCTCAGAAATAGCCTAGCCTCCCCGGCGTATACGACCCATCTGCTGTCTCTAACATCAATCAATTCATTCACGGATGTAGAAGACTCGAAACAACTTCAGAAGTAATCACGACGAAAATTTTTACAAAATTATGTATTAACAACAAGGTACGAAAACAACGAGTAAACACAATGAATCCAAAATCACAAATTGATATGACACACTACACGTATATACAGACAGTACACACAAACTCGCGAATCATGTCTTGATGGAATTCCTTTGAAGAATCGCAGGACTCACACCAGTACGCCTACAACCCTTCACAGGTTGACGATTGTAAGTTTTGGAATGTTTGGACATAAGCGAGATTAACCAACAATTACAATAATTGGAACTCATACAATTATTTGACACAAACATATGTTCAATCAACACATCAAATCTTGTGGATTCTGGCACGACAAACTACCCTTAAAAAACTGTAGGACTTACAGCAGTACGCCTACAACCCTTCTCAGGTTGACGCCCTAGGTTGGAAAATCGTCGCAGAGTTCATTTGCTGACTTCCCTCTATCAGCTATATCCTCAAATCTGAACGGTAACACGCTCATGTCATTGTATCGTAGAACATAGATGACGAACAAACACACGACGTATCTGGTCAACCAAGCGTAGGCACAGAATAATTTACACCAAAGATAATAGCATTCAAATAATAACTTGAAACTAGAAATGCCTTTATTCGTGCAAGTCAATTTAACAATTACTCTCTCGTTTACACTTGGCTTATCCTCACTAAACTGACCATTGATATTCGTCCTTTCAAACGAACTGATACTAGCATAGTCATTGCACAAGATACTTGAGTTGATGGGCGTCTGTTTCATTGTGGATGACAGCACCAACGACGACTGATTGATACCAGTTGATGAAGTTAGCGGTGGATCAAAAGCTGTTGTTGCTCGACTTTCAGAAAGTTGTCTAACTGCAAGACCACCACCACTGCTGTCTTTTACTATCAGCTCAGGTTTAGCACTAGCATCTGATGATAGGTGGGCTACATGCTGATCAACCACACTGACGGTCTCACAAGTATGTATGCCTTCTGCAAATGCATCTGCATTTATTTCTACTTCACGTTGTAGTTGTACAGAACCTTTAATTAACTTAGCAGTAGTAGGCATATCTATTATCTCATCATGAAGAACCAAAGACAAATGTGAAGTATCATGATCATTAACACGAATATCCACTTTACCGTCAATTACATCATTTTCAAACTCTTTAATAACAGAAGTAGACAATTTTGGTTCCTCCTCACAAATCCCCAAAGATTTTATACCTTCACTCTGACTAGTAATACCTTGTAAACTTGTGGAGTCAGAACTGGACTCTGAGACTGTAACTCTCTTCTGTGGCATAGTATTCAACAATGGCTTACCAGTTGCAACTACAGACTTCTTGACCACACCGTTATCGTCACACAATTCGGAGTCAGACCTTGATTTCACATTTAGCTTATCCCTGAACTTGCTTACTGATTCACAGTTCATCATTGTATGAACCTCTTGCAAACGTGTAAAACACAACCGTGTTTGTCTTGCATCTTATAACTTATCTGTTGAGGATGTACTACGAAACCTGTAACACTCACTAGGTCTATATGCATTACTAGACATCATGGAGCCTTCTCGATATCCACCTCTCTGAGGCCTATTCGTCATCAATGATTGCGTTTTACCCTCAGACTGCTCTATTCTAGGGGTGAGATGCAATATACTGGCAAACTTGCTCATAGATTGATTGACACTATCTTTTACCAGTTTCAGGATATCATCAAACTTTGGCTCGATACCCTCATCCTCCATACGGGAGCTTATCTTCACCCACTTCCTTTGCAGTCGAGTAGGTAGGCGTCTTGCTATTACTTCTAGTATAAAACTCGAGTTGAGGTCACTCATGCAATTCATCGAAATCAAGGTATTCTTATAAGTCATAAGATTATCTAAAAACTCAGTAAGTGCCTTGGAGTCATCTTGAAGTTGACTGCCGTTACCTTTGACAGCTTCGTATACGTTCCTTACAATCACTGAAGGTCTTCCAAACCTTTGACGTAATATGCTCATAGCCTCAGAGTATCCCTCATTAGGAGGCATGAGCTTACAGCACTGTATAGCTCTTGAAGCATCTCCAGTGCAATACCTCATCAAATACATCAATTTCAATTCATCACTTAATAAAAAACTACTCAGCATAATCTCAAACTCCTTTACAAATTGTAAATAATCAGCCGGGTTTCCATCGAAACATCGTGGTTCAAATTTAGGGAGTTTGATGTTCCTATTATCCCTGAACGGCGAAACAGTAACATCAACCATGTCATGCTTAACATCAGACACATCGTTACAATTAACAGACAAGTCACCATGACTTACTTTCCTGTTTGCATCCAAGACACTCTGTCCCTTCTTTGACTCAGGCATTGTTGAACTTGACCCAATTCCAAAATGTTCCAGATATTGCTTGTTCAAAGAGGACTTGACCGGCACCAGGAAAGATGAATGGTAACTATCCAATCTGTTACCAACGGTACAAACCCGTCGAAAACTGACTTCTCCGTCAGTAACTGCCAGCCACGTCTCGTAAACCGTTAATGCCCAGCTCTTGCTACGCTCGTGCTCACGCTGTCGCTTGAAGTTTCTCAGAAACGCTTAATAATAACGGACGCGAAAACCAAAACACCGATTGGCCACTCGAGAATTATTTATTCTAAAACCAACACATAGCCAACTTTACAACAAAGGTCTATGAACAAATATTACAATAATAAATCACAATATTATTTCTGAAAGTTTGTCCGGACCAATAGTTTGGGGTAGTTGGTGATAAGCCTTGAAGTCACCCTCAGTGGTACAGATCCATTCGCTCTTTGTAACTTCCACGTAATTATTCCTTATACCATACATTTCCACTGATTATGGTTCCTTTCAATTTTCCCTCTAATTCGGAGTGTGGTAACTTGAACTGTTGCACTTCTGTGCAGAACTCTATGTCGGAACTCAATCAGTAAGTAGGAGGACTAACAGAATCTGGAGGATCGCAAGAGGTGCATACATCTGTATTATTGTGAACAATTTTGAGCTATCACTGACAGTCTCCAACTATTGATTATTTGTACCCCCCTATGTGGCTCAAACCGAGGGTCAAAAACTTGATAAATCATAGACACATTTTCATCTAATCATCGGTAGCGTTTTTCGGTCTAGTGACACACTAGCTAACATTACTTGTTGATGGAGGTGGTGTAACACACGTTCTAGTCCTTACAATCTGTGCCGCTATACAATCTTATCGATTGATTCCTACTGCATAACTACCGCTCTTCGCCTAACATTATTAACGATCATATTGCACCGCCTAACACGAGAGACTGAACGTAGAAACCTATGGTTATAAACCGCCAATAGTATATTATCTGCCTTCGTCTCATTATCATAAAGCATAATGGAGCAAAGTGTTGTGTAAAACAAGAATTCTTTGAAAAGTGATTGGGTATCACACCATCGCAAAAAAGGACAACTGACAAATGCCAAACGAGCAACCGGTTTAGTAGGGTCGATAGAACTTCCAGATAAGTAGAACAGATGCTGGAAACACTCTTCTTGTTTTAATACTGTCATACACATAAAACCTGGTATAATCAATTCACCTAAGTTATTTTTTTTACAGCTGCTAATATTCCGAAGAAAACATTTTATTACACGATAAAATTACATATACAACACACACACAGTGGAGGATAAATACACTTTCTATTAGGATTGTATCTTTTTCTTAAGTGACAACTGAATACTTGTTTATCTAATGGTCAAAACAGTTAGGAATGATTCAATACCTGTTTCGGATAGCAGATACAGTATGAAGATGGGAATTACTATTATAAGGTAGATGATCCAAGTTGCTATGAGTTCTACCACGTAGAGGGTAAAAGGAAGTAAGAAAAAAGTGAAAAGTATGTAGTTAAAAGTCGTAGATTGCTATTAGGCAGACGAATGGATGGAAACAGGTATCAGAAAAAGATATAATAATCAAAACATCGACAAAAGGTCAATGGTGGAGATGTGGTTGATTGGCTGTAGTACTTGACTTCCAACCAGTGGGTAGCAGGTTCGAATTCCTATGCGAATAATTCTGTCTAAGCGACCGATCTCAGCAATTTAAATACCCCCCATAGTATATCCAGAATATGAATCGTTATATCGAACAACGATTCCCTAAGAATTCTTCAGGCTCTATGGTCATAAATCTACCAAATTTGGAATACACCAGCCAGCCAGTAAGGGCGAATCAAAATCTTATTAGATACTATATTTAAATACAAGTGCAAGGTAGAATAACCCGCTGGTTTTGATTATTATTTAAATGCGCACATTCCATAGGCAGATGAGACTAAATAAGATTATGCAATTAACTGAACTGTTTCTATACTTATAATTAACAAAATTATAGCTTTAAGGCGTTGAATAATATACAGTGATGTGAGACAAAGTATGAATACTACAAAAATATACACACAAACAATTGGATTATGCTGAGTGTAAGAGCGATGGATAACAAATGACAATAATTATGAGGTTGATAAAGTACAGTAGTCATATAATGAACAGTAATCAAGTAATGTAGACAGGATAGGCTTAGTGTAAATACAAAGAGCAGAGAGGAAATTGTTAGGGTGTATGCGATGGCAATATGAGATGACTACGTTTACGACAACCTGATGGTAGGCCAAGGTAAACGTGAAGTACGAATTTACCTTTTCTGAGCACGGATTAGGTTTTATAGGGTATTGACGATAACTGATACACTTTTGTGCAGTTTTATGTCGACTTGTCTGTTTACTGACTAGAAGCTTAGCGGTGGCTTACTTATCAAAATAATTTGGAATTTTGCTTAACTAGTGAGTTACAAGTCTACTAGCTAATGAAGTATTAAATATACGGGCAAGATGTCGGTAAATATACTGAGTCACATAATAAAGTGGACATATTTGTTTCCACAGAGTATTTCTGGTAAAGATTCCAGGTAGAAAGTAGTGGAACTACTGACTTAGAAGGCGTCCAGTAGGCAGAAATCAGTGTTATGGTATCCACTGTTAAGGCTATTATTGTCTACTTAATCATCATGATTCCGAAGCCGTAAAGTGTTACTAATTTCTACAGCTGATTATTAGTCATTCTGATGGAAAGGATGTAATTCATTTTCAATTTTTGAAATATTCGCTACTAATTTATCACACATCCTTTCAAATCTACTCAGAAGAAGTGTGCGCTGCACAGCAATTCAGCCTATCCTTCTTTATGACAGTGACATACCATTGGAAGTAGGAGACCTGAAGAGGTTAGCTGTCTTTGGCCAAAGGTATTTGCCTCCTATCTCACATGTTAATTCATATAATAAGTTGAGAATTAGGCAAAGGAAGTCAGTCTATGAGACTGTGAAGCTGCATCGACTGAGATGGCTAACACACACGTTATGCGTACAAAGCTATTGCCTTGCATGTCAACCATTGTTAGCTTGTATAGGATTAGTTTGGGCGTGTTAGGATATCAATCCACGAAGTCACTCAATGTTGGTTTCAGAGGCGAAGGAAAGTGTAGACTGTCTAGATGCGGTCCTCAGCATCCTGAGGACCAATAGTTTGGGGTAGTTGGTGATAAGCCTTGAAGTCACCCTCAGTGGTACAGATCCATTCGCTCTTTGTAACTTCCACGTAATTATTCCTTATACCATACATTTCCACTGATTATGGTTCCTTTCAATTTTCCCTCTAATTCGGAGTGTGGTAACTTGAACTGTTGCACTTCTGTGCAGAACTCTATGTCGGAACTCAATCAGTAAGTAGGAGGACTAACAGAATCTGGAGGATCGCAAGAGGTGCATACATCTGTATTATTGTGAACAATTTTGAGCTATCACTGACAGTCTCCAACTATTGATTATTTGTACCCCCCTATGTGGCTCAAACCGAGGGTCAAAAACTTGATAAATCATAGACACATTTTCATCTAATCATCGGTAGCGTTTTTCGGTCTAGTGACACACTAGCTAACATTACTTGTTGATGGAGGTGGTGTAACACACGTTCTAGTCCTTACAATCTGTGCCGCTATACAATCTTATCGATTGATTCCTACTGCATAACTACCGCTCTTCGCCTAACATTATTAACGATCATATTGCACCGCCTAACACGAGAGACTGAACGTAGAAACCTATGGTTATAAACCGCCAATAGTATATTATCTGCCTTCGTCTCATTATCATAAAGCATAATGGAGCAAAGTGTTGTGTAAAACAAGAATTCTTTGAAAAGTGATTGGGTATCACACCATCGCAAAAAAGGACAACTGACAAATGCCAAACGAGCAACCGGTTTGGTAGGGTCGATACAGCTTCCCACAAAATTACTACGGATTGTATAAAACCTTAGCAACAAATGCTCCTTTGCTTATTATCCAATCAGAATGAATCTTTGCGTAGCCGAGTTAATGACTACAAATTTTATTTAGCAAAACAAACATCTGGCTTAACATTTTATAAGATACTGACCTGCAAGAGTTTTCAAACTGACAGTTTTCTGTACCACTGAAATTAAAAGTCGTGTTGTTTTCTTGTAACTTTTGGACATGAGATGGTAGCACAGGAGTGTTTACATCCTTATTTTTTAAATTTTGTTCAGTTAGTTGTGTGTAGAATGATGGAGACACCTTGATTGCTAACAGCTGAACCCATAATGAGATTTGTCCACGTCTTCGTTTAGCTGGGAGTTCAGCTAAAATAGAAATACTTTAAAATGATATTTCAATTTATACTAAGATATGCAGGGCAAGTATTTTCACCAATATTACACGCTACTAAAAAATGTTTAAACAACTCCGAAAACAAAAAAAAACAAAAAAGTGGACGTCCACACTTATTAACTACATTAGTATCTATCATTAGGAATTGTATTATTTTCTCCAACAGTTATTAACCTGAACATTATATCCAGGAATTTTCAAGTTGCCAATTAGACACAAAACACACTATTCTGTAATTGACATATCTGGCAACAGTAGAGAACAGACATCAAAGTCAAAGGATTTTGAGTTTACCAATTATACTCTTCCAGGAGAAAATTGGCATTTATTATCTTTTTTAAATGTATTTATGACATGTGTAATAAAACTGAATTATACAGGGTATATATCTCTAAGGTGCTGTGAAAACTGGTCCCAGTTTCTCGTAGGAGACAACTATTTAGGCTTATCAGGGAAACAGGTGGCAAAAGGCAAATGATAAGTGAAACAATCTCGGAGAAAAATGGCACCATAATTAGCTCCCAGGATAGACGACTGGAACGCTGGAAAGAGCACTATGAGGAGCAGTTTAATTGGCCCACAGCCACGCTCAACCTGCCGAACATCCAACACCTCCCTGAGTGGGATATAGACACAGGTCCTCCTTCCTTAACTGAGGTTACTAAAGCTGTCACCAATCTGAAACAAGGCAAAGCAGCGGGACCTGATGGAATGGCTCCAGAGGTACTTAAGTACGGTGGAGACAGTTTAGTGTGTGCATTAACTGAGGTTCTAGAACATAGGCACTCCTACCGGCGTCCAACAACCATTATATTTCTTGACCTAAAGGCGGAATTCGATTCTGTCGACCGAGAGGTACCGTGGTGATGCTTGGCTGTAAAGGGAATCCCGAGAAAATACATTGCACTGATTAAGGCACTCTACTCGTACTCATGCAGCCAGGTGAGGGCTTACGGCGAGTTATCATCTGAAATGGTGACGACTAGTGGTGTCCGTCAAGGATGCCCATTATCCCGTTTTCTATTCAACGTCACCGTAGATGTATTGATGGGCTTAACCATAATTCACTTTAGCGACTCAGAGATTGACTTGCTACCAGGGAATAATCTCGTTGACTTAGAATATGCAGACGATATAATCCTTCTAGGCGAGGACGCTGACAAAATGCAGAATCTTCTAAACACCTTGAGCTGCAATCTACGAATGTTTGGCATGCGATTCGCTCCCGCCAAACGCAAGATGATGTTACAGGACTGGACTACACAGACTCCTAGATTAGAAATAGGAAGTAAAGTGGTAGAGCGTGTTGACCGCTTCACTTATTTGGGAAGTACTATCAGCCAAACCCAACGGATTGATCTCTGACGAAATCTCAGCACGGATACAAAAGGCTAGTTTCGCATATGCCAGTTTATGCCGTCTCTGGCGTAGATGTGATATCCGACTATCGACCAAAGGGCGGGTGTACTGCTCATCAGTCCGCTCCGTCCTCCTTTATGGCTGTGAGACCTGGCCATTGAGAGTGGAAGACATGAAAAGCTTGATTAGCTGTCTTTGATCATAGGTGCCTGCGTTCTATCTCCCGTGTGAAGTGGTATAATAAGGTGAGCAATATTGAGGTTAGGCGTCGAGTTCTAGGTAAGCAGGGGAAATCGATAGACGAGGTTGTGAAGTAACATCGACTGAGATGGTTAGGACATGTGTTACGTGTGCCCAGTCATCGCCTTCCTCGACGGGCAATGTTAGCTGATATAGAGTTAGGCTGGAAAAGAGCTAGCGGAGGTCAAACAAAAACATGGCCTCACCAGACAATGAAATCTACAACAGTTAGTCTAAGCCACGTAGGAAGGTGTAGACTGGCTTCCCGGTTGGGGGTCCTCGGGACGGTAAAAATCAATGGTTGGAAACAATCGGTGACATGGCTCAAAATCGTTCTCAGTGGCGCAGATGCATCCACTCCTTGTGACTTGTAGTACCCAATAAAGCTGTATTGTTCTTCGATATTACTATTCCTTTGTCTCATACCTCTGTTTACTGTCTCTAATACTCATTTCTTCTACTTTCTTCTCATGCTTTGTGTGCTACATGGAGTGTGGAGACTTGAACTGGTGCACATCGGCGCAAAGTTCTATGTCGAAAACAGACAGACATAGGAGTGTCTGTACACATATAAAACCAATGTCGATACAAAAATTCATCCAGGTGGCTGTATATCATATCATACCATATTAGGAGCCATTTACTATTATAATACATTTTCTGGATGGACCCAGAATCCTTCAATAGAATTTGTATAAGCTCCACTTATAGGATCTACTAGTTCAGAAGTATGATTGACTTTATGATGAATATAGTCTAATGATGATAGTTGCGAATGACCGTTTCACTCGAGTGTATGAATGGTAGTGCCTAGGAGGACTAGTCGTTGTATTACTGGTATTAAAACGTCTGGGTGAAACTTGCAACGAAGATTATAAACAGCATCTATGTGTAATGCCGAGCTATCTTACTGGCTGATTCAAGGCCACTTGACTTTGGTGTCTATTCTCTACTGTTGCCATATATCTCTTCATGTATAAGACAATCAATGTAGTTATTTTGTTATGATATTTCGTAACGAGAAATATCTATTTATTAAATGCAGTTTTATTACAACGTTACAATTGGGTGGTATAAAATCAACAAATGAGCATCTCTGTTATTTGACAATTATCATTTAAATTATGACGACAGTTAAATAAATACTTTTGATCAACATCACCAAATACAACTATTCCTGATGATAGCTATACACCTCCATATAAAATGTATTGCCTAATACCTGTATTTAAAATACTTCTCATTGTGCAAAACGTCACCTACACACGACTCCGTAAATCTCCAAATGAGTACATTTCACAAGCACTCCTAAATTATAAAGTAAGGGACTAGCACTGACCCTGATTTCCTACTAATCTAGCACGAACTGAGTAACACACTAAACATGAGATCACACAGGCATTCCTCCGTCTCGCAAGTTTCTCAAACTACCTCTTTATCCACATATAGTCAGCTTATTAGGGCCTTTGACATGGACAAATTCAGAATAATTCCAAATATGTGTTTGAGTTTGAACCATTTAACAGGACTGACGGACTAGTTTCAACATAGAACTTTGCGCCGATGTGCACCAGTTCGAGTCGCTACACTTCATTCAGCACACAAAGACAGAGAAGATAAAAAGAAATGCAAAACAGAGACAGTAAACAGAGATATGAGGCTAAAAGAATAGTACTATCGACGAACAATATAGTTCTACTGGGCGTTGTAAGTCACAAGGAGTGGATTCATCTGCACCAACCATTGAGAACGAACTTGAGCCATACTACCGATTGTCTCCAGCCATTGGTTTTTACTGTCCCGAGGACCCCAACCAGGAAGTCTACACTTTCCTACTAGACCGGCTTAAGCTAACTGTTGGGGATTCCATTGACTGATGAGGCCATGATTTAGCTTGACCACTAGTGGCTCTTTTCCAACCTGACCCTATGTCAGCTAACATTGCCCGTCGAAGAAGGCGATGGCTAGGCCAGGATTAGACTGGCCGGCGTTAAGTGATCATTTTACGGACATTAAACGTTCCCCGAAGTGATATTTCCACACCAAATACTAGGACCGCCGTGCAACTGAAAATAGAATAAAAGTTTGCTTGTAAAGCCTGAAGAGAATGGAACATACTAACTGCTAGCTAGTGGCGATGAATAGCAGGGGAGTTAGCATATATGACATCAGGTAAAACTATCACGCCCGAAAGAAAAGGATGCATTAGTAAGACAAATCTCGTACTATCTTCAAAACGCCTTACAACATAAGATGGTCATCAATCCTTGTCATCGAAAATGTAAACAAATTCTGGAGAAGAAAAGGACGCCCTATCGGACTTATTTAAGCAAGTGGTTGTTCACTCGAAATCAAGTTCGTCTCAACTTAGATTTGAGACAAGATTAAAATACTGAGGCTAAGTTAGATCTGTTGCCAAGAAGCAGTCGAGTTAAACCTGAAAAGCACAAGCACCAGTCCTACTGTTATCTACAGACTTGAATGACGAATCGTTTATATAGATTTAGTTAAACCGCAGAATTGAATTTCACGAAATAATTGTACTTAGTAATCCTACATGCGAATACATATGAAGTCTCAATATCATAATGATACGCCGGTTACTAACTCAAACAATTCACTCGCATCGAAGCACATTTAAGAAAAAGTAGTGTAAACTTATAAAAGACTTACAGTATCCAAGACTCATTCCATTGCATATTGAAGGTGATGGATTTATTCGCCTACTATAGTCCAAGTAGCTGGCAAGTTCATGGTGACCCGTCTGTCGTAATGCGTTAAGCAAGAGCGCTAGGCCTTGTGGTGGGGCGAATGGACAACTGTTGGATGATCCTGAGCTACGAAAGCCACCATTATGAATAGGAAGGCCAATGGCACTTAGCAGCAAGAAAGGACGCTCACATTTTTCTGCCCGTATTATTTCGAGACTAGATTCTCCACTTATAGCATGATGTCTGACAAGATAATCAAGCAAAGGAGCCTGCACATCCAAGCTTTCGAATGTATCCGGTGAGCAATCCAGAAAATTTTTCGATATTCCTGACACCGCACAAGATGCACTGTAGTTTTCCTTATCACACGTCAAATTACGGCAGGAATTAGCGTTCTGAATTGTAGTTATTTGACCTTCTTTATACGTAGTATCGTGGACCTTTCTTTAGGTTCAGGAGTGGACTGGAGATATGGTGGTCTCCTAAAGTTACAAATGGGATGTGCAGCTTCCCCGTATTTCCCGAAGTTCTTAGTGATGGGAGTCTGGGATTTGTCGTCGTAGTAATTGACATTAAGGGTGTTCACATGAACGCAGTCACCATTATAACCGATTACTCTATGGCCATTACTATTACACGAAACTTCCAACATCAAAAAGTAAGAAGAGTGGGCAACAAAGAGAACTACATAAACCGGTAATTGAATGGAGTCAAAATTGAACGGAAAGAGGACTAGGGCCAGAAAACCATAAGCCGCAGAACCAGGTGACTACTTTCATATTTCGACGGCTTTTCACCGATCAAAACAACAAGGTCAGGGAGGCTTTCATCGTTCCAAACACTGATGACCTTGATGGTACTTCATCCAAGCACGGGAGCCGCTTGCAGTGTTTTGGATATTTTCCAGTCTAAAATATATTTATCAACACGTGGGATATGTGAACGGAAGTTTTCCAGCATTTCTTCGTCTGTTGTGCCCTGGGCGAAAACCACCGCTGACTTTGCACCGAATGGAATGGTTGCAAAACCTTGGTGTGAATAATCACAAGGAATATTTGCAGTACCATATGATGATAAATTTCGTTGACAATCTCCAAGTAGTTATGTAGGACAAATTGGGTTCAAATTGTAATGATTCCAGAGCCTCTGAGTGTGGATCGCGAAACTTCAAAATTAATTGATAGTGTACTGCACTGGTGCTGTTCCGCCTTGAATAAATTGACTGAGCTGAGTAGTATGTCAGACTTTTAAAACCGAGTTATCGTTAGGGTTACGGAATCATGGCTCACACTCTAAATCAGTGACACTGAAGTTAACCAATATGATTTACATTGCATACGGAATGAATCGCAGGGTCGATAGAGTGCGTGGCGGTAGGTAATTCCACAGAATTATCAGCCACAGAATTCATCACTGGACACTGGACGCTGACACTTATTGTTTAAGTCGACTCGCTTATCAGAAGGTACGCGTTGAAATATCCAAGCCATTTTGCACGCCGTCGTGTTGAGTTTGTTCGTTTATGCACTATCCCTAGCCGGTTGAGCAGTCATCGTCGCACTATGATTTTGTCCAGAAATATACTCCGTATTTTTGACGATCAGTGTGATGCTTTGCTTTGCTTCTTGTCTAAGCGGAATGAATACTATAAAAGTTGTAGGTATTATATCCTGTGTGAGTATATGTTGTGCTATCCCTGAACTCCAACACCTTCAACCCCTAAAAGTAGGTTTCTGTATCAAGAATTTGTAGGATGCTGAAGCTCTCTCGCACAAAACTGGATCGAGCGAACTTCAACTCTGCAGACTAAAGTGTGAATGACAACACGCTAACCTCACTGTAATTAGTCGTAGCCCCGATCGCAATGGAGACAATTTTCGGTTAGTGAATCTGGGTTTCTGGACGTCGAAACGTTCGAGTTTCGTGGATGGAGTTTTCACTGTCCCATTAATTGACTGGATATGCTTTACAATGCCATCCTCAGCCTACTCTTCAGACTAAAATTTTCAGAGTCTACAATTTCGTTGGACGTATTACAACTTGTCACTAAGCTTGCACTTTATGTGTGGCAGCACTCCCCCTCAATCTTGGGCCTGGTTTTCTGCACTACTGATCGTGCGATCCTCACTCAATATTCCCTGCTGCTAGGGAAAACTGAACATGCTGTGCTTACGTTCGAGTTCGTAGCTGCTGCAGTGTCCGTAACTTATACCTCAGGTTGGCCAAACATTTAAAAAGTTAACATAAATCGTTTTGGAGACATAATCACAGGAATGGTCATAAGTCCAGTGTCCTAGGTTGGAATCAGTGGGATCTGAAATCCTCTCAGGACCCTTCAACCAACCGGCAGCTGACATAGCCGGCCCCGTAACTACCACCTAGAATCTACCTGCAGTAAACTGGGTATTACCTCACAACTGGAAGGAAGCTGTAGTAACCTCCTGCCACAAGGCCAATCAGGACACCATCCCCCGACTACAATCTGATTAACCCCACTAACACCTTGATCAGGACACTAGAAAGAAAGCCTTCATGGAATGTCTCGAAAACAACTTTTCGTTCAGAGCACAGTATGGTTCTCATGCCTGAAAAAATTCTTGCAGCTAGGGGAAGCTGATCAAGTCAAAGGACAACAAAACACATCGGCGTTTCTTCCATGGGCTTCAGTAAAGCTTGCTTGGAGATGGCCTGATGGTGACGGTGACATGCTTACGCCCCAAACAGATCTCGATAAAGGAGAACTTTTTGCAATGGTGCAAAGAATGGATGCTTCAAAACAATGCAGAGAAGTGTGCAACCATGTCCTTCGGACACGCAAGCATCAGCACATACGATAAAGAGGGAATAATACTCCCATGAGCGCAGTGTTATATAGACCTACATGACCCAGGAATCCACTACGTAAAACCCACAGCACGGTTTTGCGCGGCGGTGGTGCGAAGTCTCAAACTATGATGGGTAGCGCACAGAGCGTTTACTAGAAACACCAGTGATGCCTTCACTTCTCTATATGCATCTCTGAAAAAACTGCATCCAGGCGGTCAGTCCCTCTCCTAAGAGGGACTCAAACATTCTAGAAAAGGTACAAAGAAGAGCAGCGCGTCTGATTTTGAGCATAGTTAATTTACCATACGAGGAAAGACTGAACAGTTTGAAATCCTCACTTTGTCGTGCCGAAAGTAGCGGGGAGATCTCATTACAATGTTGGAAATTATCCTCTAGTCCTCCCCACTGAGCCAGTATATCCCAGGGGACATAACGGGGGAGTTTAAAAGCTGAGTAGGGACTAAATTGCCCTTGAGCAACGTTTCTTTCACATATTCTTGAACACTTTGAGAGGATTATCAGGGGACATGATTTCGGCTCCCAATGTTCAGGAGATTAGAGAAGCACGTAAACTTCCTGGGAGAGAACTGACATAGGGACGAAGCTTTGGGGGGTCAGACAGCCTTGTCAATTCAGTTGGATCTCGGCCATTTCGCTTTCAGAGGTCAATCTGTTCACCTGTGCTGATTAGGTCAGGAACAAGAGAGTGATTGTGCACTGTTGTGTGATTGTTTATCTCTGTATTCTCTTCATACGACTGTTCATAGTTACATCGCTGAACAGCAGTAGTGGCTATATTATACCTTTTGCTAGTTGTGTCAATGTAATGAGCGGCCTGACCACCAGGTCAGCTGTGCTAGGCTACAGAGTCAGCGGGTAATGCGGCCAAAGCTGAAGTAAAGTGGGATAGATGGCGACGCAACAATCGAGAGCGTTAAGTCTAGTTCAAGCCGTCAGAAACAATCTCCAAGTCATTGAAGTGGCCTAGGTGGTTTCTTATATGGCTTTCTATTATCAAAAATTAAATCTAAAGCTGATGACAAATATATCTAAACAAATCAACACCGTAGACCATTATTGAAGTTATGAGAAACTGTGCAAGGTTAGGAATATAAGCTGACATTCAACTAATCTTGTTGTCATGTCTGCTACAGGCAGTGCACGGACATCGCTTGAGCAGACCGACTCTAGAAAACTGAGCTAATAAGGGTGTGTCTCTAAAGCACTCATCAAATTATGAACTAGTGAGCTACCTATAAAACTTCAAGCTGTCTTACGAAACCGTTCCATTTCGTATTTGTTCAATACATATATCTTCAGTGAAATGAAATTTTGTCATCATGCTGGACACGACTTCACAGCGAATGCACTCCAATGAATTGAAGTATTATTCAGCACCTGTTCAAACCGTTATCACAAAAGATATCTACCTGAAGTCCTGTTTTTATTACTTCTGCCACCAGGTCGCTGGCTTCCACTGCAGGTTTTCTAGTTTGCGTGACATTAGACATAAAGTGCCACGAAGTCTCCAGCTTCTAACGTCTTCTTATCGGTTCAGAGTAGTCCTGTATACTCGCTTTCAGCAATCTCCCACATAACCCAATCCCCCACAATTAGGGATATAACTACTGTATTCCTTTCACAGGCTTCGCTGAGTTTTCCGTTACAGGTCTCAAGAAAACCAGTTAGTTAGGCTGCTTGAATTATTTTGAACTAGTTTCCAGTTAGTTTCAACCAGATATATCACCCACGATTGATGTGTGGCTGTAAATCCTGCTAGACCCGAGTACCAGCCACACTGCCTACTGATTGTTTATCCTGGTCCGCCTTACCTGGTGGCTAGGCTGCCTACAACACCACCAAAACTAGCAAAAGCGAGAATATAACACTTACGGATGATGAAAGTTGCACTTATTGACAATCATTTCAACAGCGTACAAGAAGATAATCACCCCCACGCAAAGCCACTCATTTCTCGTTCATTAAATGCGGTGTTGACCACTGCGGCAGGTATGAACTCGAACGTAAGCACCCTGCTGCTAGGGAAAACTGAACATGCTGTGCTTACGTTCGAGCTGCCGCAGTGGTCAACACCGATTTTAATGGACGAGAAATGAGTGGCTTTGCGTGGGGGTGATTATCTTCTTGTACGCTGTTGAAATGATTGTCAATAAGTGCAACTTTCATCATCCGTAAGTGTTATATTCTCGCTTTTGCTAGTTTTGGTGGTGTTGTAGGCAGCCTAGCCACCAGGTAAGGCGGACCAGGATAAACAATCAGTAGGCAGTGTGGCTGGTACTCGGGTCTAGCAGGATTTACAGCCACACATCAATCGTGGGTGATATATCTGGTTGAAACTAACTGGAAACTAGTTCAAAATAATTCAAGCAGCCTAACTAACTGGTTTTCTTGAGACCTGTAACGGAAAACTCAGCGAAGCCTGTGAAAGGAATACAGTAGTTATATCCCTAATTGTGGGGGATTGGGTTATGTGGGAGATTGCTGAAAGCGAGTATACAGGACTACTCTGAACCGATAAGAAGACGTTAGAAGCTGGAGACTTCGTGGCACTTTATGTCTAATGTCACGCAAACTAGAAAACCTGCAGTGGAAGCCAGCGACCTGGTGGCAGAAGTAATAAAAACAGGACTTCAGGTAGATATCTTTTGTGATAACGGTTTGAACAGGTGCTGAATAATACTTCAATTCATTGGAGTGCATTCGCTGTGAAGTCGTGTCCAGCATGATGACAAAATTTCATTTCACTGAAGATATATGTATTGAACAAATACGAAATGGAACGGTTTCGTAAGACAGCTTGAAGTTTTATAGGTAGCTCACTAGTTCATAATTTGATGAGTGCTTTAGAGACACACCCTTATTAGCTCAGTTTTCTAGAGTCGGTCTGCTCAAGCGATGTCCGTGCACTGCCTGTAGCAGACATGACAACAAGATTAGTTGAATGTCAGCTTATATTCCTAACCTTGCACAGTTTCTCATAACTTCAATAATGGTCTACGGTGTTGATTTGTTTAGATATATTTGTCATCAGCTTTAGATTTAATTTTTGATAATAGAAAGCCATATAAGAAACCACCTAGGCCACTTCAATGACTTGGAGATTGTTTCTGACGGCTTGAACTAGACTTAACGCTCTCGATTGTTGCGTCGCCATCTATCCCACTTTACTTCAGCTTTGGCCGCATTACCCGCTGACTCTGTAGCCTAGCACAGCTGACCTGGTGGTCAGGCCGCTCATTACATTGACACAACTAGCAAAAGGTATAATATAGCCACTACTGCTGTTCAGCGATGTAACTATGAACAGTCGTATGAAGAGAATACAGAGATAAACAATCACACAACAGTGCACAATCACTCTCTTGTTCCTGACCTAATCAGCACAGGTGAACAGATTGACCTCTGAAAGCGAAATGGCCGAGATCCAACTGAATTGACAAGGCTGTCTGACCCCCCAAAGCTTCGTCCCTATGTCAGTTCTCTCCCAGGAAGTTTACGTGCTTCTCTAATCTCCTGAACATTGGGAGCCGAAATCATGTCCCCTGATAATCCTCTCAAAGTGTTCAAGAATATGTGAAAGAAACGTTGCTCAAGGGCAATTTAGTCCCTACTCAGCTTTTAAACTCCCCCGTTATGTCCCCTGGGATATACTGGCTCAGTGGGGAGGACTAGAGGATAATTTCCAACATTGTAATGAGATCTCCCCGCTACTTTCGGCACGACAAAGTGAGGATTTCAAACTGTTCAGTCTTTCCTCGTATGGTAAATTAACTATGCTCAAAATCAGACGCGCTGCTCTTCTTTGTACCTTTTCTAGAATGTTTGAGTCCCTCTTAGGAGAGGGACTGACCGCCTGGATGCAGTTTTTTCAGAGATGCATATAGAGAAGTGAAGGCATCACTGGTGTTTCTAGTAAACGCTCTGTGCGCTACCCATCATAGTTTGAGACTTCGCACCACCGCCGCGCAAAACCGTGCTGTGGGTTTTACGTAGTGGATTCCTGGGTCATGTAGGTCTATATAACACTGCGCTCATGGGAGTATTATTCCCTCTTTATCGTATGTGCTGATGCTTGCGTGTCCGAAGGACATGGTTGCACACTTCTCTGCATTGTTTTGAAGCATCCATTCTTTGCACCATTGCAAAAAGTTCTCCTTTATCGAGATCTGTTTGGGGCGTAAGCATGTCACCGTCACCATCAGGCCATCTCCAAGCAAGCTTTACTGAAGCCCATGGAAGAAACGCCGATGTGTTTTGTTGTCCTTTGACTTGATCAGCTTCCCCTAGCTGCAAGAATTTTTTCAGGCATGAGAACCATACTGTGCTCTGAACGAAAAGTTGTTTTCGAGACATTCCATGAAGGCTTTCTTTCTAGTGTCCTGATCAAGGTGTTAGTGGGGTTAATCAGATTGTAGTCGGGGGATGGTGTCCTGATTGGCCTTGTGGCAGGAGGTTACTACAGCTTCCTTCCAGTTGTGAGGTAATACCCAGTTTACTGCAGGTAGATTCTAGGTGGTAGTTACGGGGCCGGCTATGTCAGCTGCCGGTTGGTTGAAGGGTCCTGAGAGGATTTCAGATCCCACTGATTCCAACCTAGGACACTGGACTTATGACCATTCCTGTGATTATGTCTCCAAAACGATTTATGTTAACTTTTTAAATGTTTGGCCAACCTGAGGTATAAGTTACGGACACTGCAGCAGCTACGAACTCGAACGTAAGCACAGCATGTTCAGTTTTCCCTAGCAGCAGGGAATATTGAGTGAGGATCGCACGATCAGTAGTGCAGAAAACCAGGCCCAAGATTGAGGGGGAGTGCTGCCACACATAAAGTGCAAGCTTAGTGACAAGTTGTAATACGTCCAACGAAATTGTAGACTCTGAAAATTTTAGTCTGAAGAGTAGGCTGAGGATGGCATTGTAAAGCATATCCAGTCAATTAATGGGACAGTGAAAACTCCATCCACGAAACTCGAACGTTTCGACGTCCAGAAACCCAGATTCACTAACCGAAAATTGTCTCCATTGCGATCGGGGCTACGACTAATTACAGTGAGGTTAGCGTGTTGTCATTCACACTTTAGTCTGCAGAGTTGAAGTTCGCTCGATCCAGTTTTGTGCGAGAGAGCTTCAGCATCCTACAAATTCTTGATACAGAAACCTACTTTTAGGGGTTGAAGGTGTTGGAGTTCAGGGATAGCACAACATATACTCACACAGGATATAATACCTACAACTTTTATAGTATTCATTCCGCTTAGACAAGAAGCAAAGCAAAGCATCACACTGATCGTCAAAAATACGGAGTATATTTCTGGACAAAATCATAGTGCGACGATGACTGCTCAACCGGCTAGGGATAGTGCATAAACGAACAAACTCAACACGACGGCGTGCAAAATGGCTTGGATATTTCAACGCGTACCTTCTGATAAGCGAGTCGACTTAAACAATAAGTGTCAGCGTCCAGTGTCCAGTGATGAATTCTGTGGCTGATAATTCTGTGGAATTACCTACCGCCACGCACTCTATCGACCCTGCGATTCATTCCGTATGCAATGTAAATCATATTGGTTAACTTCAGTGTCACTGATTTAGAGTGTGAGCCATGATTCCGTAACCCTAACGATAACTCGGTTTTAAAAGTCTGACATACTACTCAGCTCAGTCAATTTATTCAAGGCGGAACAGCACCAGTGCAGTACACTATCAATTAATTTTGAAGTTTCGCGATCCACACTCAGAGGCTCTGGAATCATTACAATTTGAACCCAATTTGTCCTACATAACTACTTGGAGATTGTCAACGAAATTTATCATCATATGGTACTGCAAATATTCCTTGTGATTATTCACACCAAGGTTTTGCAACCATTCCATTCGGTGCAAAGTCAGCGGTGGTTTTCGCCCAGGGCACAACAGACGAAGAAATGCTGGAAAACTTCCGTTCACATATCCCACGTGTTGATAAATATATTTTAGACTGGAAAATATCCAAAACACTGCAAGCGGCTCCCGTGCTTGGATGAAGTACCATCAAGGTCATCAGTGTTTGGAACGATGAAAGCCTCCCTGACCTTGTTGTTTTGATCGGTGAAAAGCCGTCGAAATATGAAAGTAGTCACCTGGTTCTGCGGCTTATGGTTTTCTGGCCCTAGTCCTCTTTCCGTTCAATTTTGACTCCATTCAATTACCGGTTTATGTAGTTCTCTTTGTTGCCCACTCTTCTTACTTTTTGATGTTGGAAGTTTCGTGTAATAGTAATGGCCATAGAGTAATCGGTTATAATGGTGACTGCGTTCATGTGAACACCCTTAATGTCAATTACTACGACGACAAATCCCAGACTCCCATCACTAAGAACTTCGGGAAATACGGGGAAGCTGCACATCCCATTTGTAACTTTAGGAGACCACCATATCTCCAGTCCACTCCTGAACCTAAAGAAAGGTCCACGATACTACGTATAAAGAAGGTCAAATAACTACAATTCAGAACGCTAATTCCTGCCGTAATTTGACGTGTGATAAGGAAAACTACAGTGCATCTTGTGCGGTGTCAGGAATATCGAAAAATTTTCTGGATTGCTCACCGGATACATTCGAAAGCTTGGATGTGCAGGCTCCTTTGCTTGATTATCTTGTCAGACATCATGCTATAAGTGGAGAATCTAGTCTCGAAATAATACGGGCAGAAAAATGTGAGCGTCCTTTCTTGCTGCTAAGTGCCATTGGCCTTCCTATTCATAATGGTGGCTTTCGTAGCTCAGGATCATCCAACAGTTGTCCATTCGCCCCACCACAAGGCCTAGCGCTCTTGCTTAACGCATTACGACAGACGGGTCACCATGAACTTGCCAGCTACTTGGACTATAGTAGGCGAATAAATCCATCACCTTCAATATGCAATGGAATGAGTCTTGGATACTGTAAGTCTTTTATAAGTTTACACTACTTTTTCTTAAATGTGCTTCGATGCGAGTGAATTGTTTGAGTTAGTAACCGGCGTATCATTATGATATTGAGACTTCATATGTATTCGCATGTAGGATTACTAAGTACAATTATTTCGTGAAATTCAATTCTGCGGTTTAACTAAATCTATATAAACGATTCGTCATTCAAGTCTGTAGATAACAGTAGGACTGGTGCTTGTGCTTTTCAGGTTTAACTCGACTGCTTCTTGGCAACAGATCTAACTTAGCCTCAGTATTTTAATCTTGTCTCAAATCTAAGTTGAGACGAACTTGATTTCGAGTGAACAACCACTTGCTTAAATAAGTCCGATAGGGCGTCCTTTTCTTCTCCAGAATTTGTTTACATTTTCGATGACAAGGATTGATGACCATCTTATGTTGTAAGGCGTTTTGAAGATAGTACGAGATTTGTCTTACTAATGCATCCTTTTCTTTCGGGCGTGATAGTTTTACCTGATGTCATATATGCTAACTCCCCTGCTATTCATCGCCACTAGCTAGCAGTTAGTATGTTCCATTCTCTTCAGGCTTTACAAGCAAACTTTTATTCTATTTTCAGTTGCACGGCGGTCCTAGTATTTGGTGTGGAAATATCACTTCGGGGAACGTTTAATGTCCGTAAAATGATCACTTAACGCCGGCCAGTCTAATCCTGGCCTAGCCATCGCCTTCTTCGACGGGCAATGTTAGCTGACATAGGGTCAGGTTGGAAAAGAGCCACTAGTGGTCAAGCTAAATCATGGCCTCATCAGTCAATGGAATCCCCAACAGTTAGCTTAAGCCGGTCTAGTAGGAAAGTGTAGACTTCCTGGTTGGGGTCCTCGGGACAGTAAAAACCAATGGCTGGAGACAATCGGTAGTATGGCTCAAGTTCGTTCTCAATGGTTGGTGCAGATGAATCCACTCCTTGTGACTTACAACGCCCAGTAGAACTATATTGTTCGTCGATAGTACTATTCTTTTAGCCTCATATCTCTGTTTACTGTCTCTGTTTTGCATTTCTTTTTATCTTCTCTGTCTTTGTGTGCTGAATGAAGTGTAGCGACTCGAACTGGTGCACATCGGCGCAAAGTTCTATGTTGAAACTAGTCCGTCAGTCCTGTTAAATGGTTCAAACTCAAACACATATTTGGAATTATTCTGAATTTGTCCATGTCAAAGGCCCTAATAAGCTGACTATATGTGGATAAAGAGGTAGTTTGAGAAACTTGCGAGACGGAGGAATGCCTGTGTGATCTCATGTTTAGTGTGTTACTCAGTTCGTGCTAGATTAGTAGGAAATCAGGGTCAGTGCTAGTCCCTTACTTTATAATTTAGGAGTGCTTGTGAAATGTACTCATTTGGAGATTTACGGAGTCGTGTGTAGGTGACGTTTTGCACAATGAGAAGTATTTTAAATACAGGTATTAGGCAATACATTTTATATGGAGGTGTATAGCTATCATCAGGAATAGTTGTATTTGGTGATGTTGATCAAAAGTATTTATTTAACTGTCGTCATAATTTAAATGATAATTGTCAAATAACAGAGATGCTCATTTGTTGATTTTATACCACCCAATTGTAACGTTGTAATAAAACTGCATTTAATAAATAGATATTTCTCGTTACGAAATATCATAACAAAATAACTACATTGATTGTCTTATACATGAAGAGATATATGGCAACAGTAGAGAATAGACACCAAAGTCAAGTGGCCTTGAATCAGCCAGTAAGATAGCTCGGCATTACACATAGATGCTGTTTATAATCTTCGTTGCAAGTTTCACCCAGACGTTTTAATACCAGTAATACAACGACTAGTCCTCCTAGGCACTACCATTCATACACTCGAGTGAAACGGTCATTCGCAACTATCATCATTAGACTATATTCATCATAAAGTCAATCATACTTCTGAACTAGTAGATCCTATAAGTGGAGCTTATACAAATTCTATTGAAGGATTCTGGGTCCATCCAGAAAATGTATTATAATAGTAAATGGCTCCTAATATGGTATGATATGATATACAGCCACCTGGATGAATTTTTGTATCGACATTGGTTTTATATGTGTACAGACACTCCTATGTCTGTCTGTTTTCGACATAGAACTTTGCGCCGATGTGCACCAGTTCAAGTCTCCACACTCCATGTAGCACACAAAGCATGAGAAGAAAGTAGAAGAAATGAGTATTAGAGACAGTAAACAGAGGTATGAGACAAAGGAATAGTAATATCGAAGAACAATACAGCTTTATTGGGTACTACAAGTCACAAGGAGTGGATGCATCTGCGCCACTGAGAACGATTTTGAGCCATGTCACCGATTGTTTCCAACCATTGATTTTTACCGTCCCGAGGACCCCCAACCGGGAAGCCAGTCTACACCTTCCTACGTGGCTTAGACTAACTGTTGTAGATTTCATTGTCTGGTGAGGCCATGTTTTTGTTTGACCTCCGCTAGCTCTTTTCCAGCCTAACTCTATATCAGCTAACATTGCCCGTCGAGGAAGGCGATGACTGGGCACACGTAACACATGTCCTAACCATCTCAGTCGATGTTACTTCACAACCTCGTCTATCGATTTCCCCTGCTTACCTAGAACTCGACGCCTAACCTCAATATTGCTCACCTTATTATACCACTTCACACGGGAGATAGAACGCAGGCACCTATGATCAAAGACAGCTAATCAAGCTTTTCATGTCTTCCACTCTCAATGGCCAGGTCTCACAGCCATAAAGGAGGACGGAGCGGACTGATGAGCAGTACACCCGCCCTTTGGTCGATAGTCGGATATCACATCTACGCCAGAGACGGCATAAACTGGCATATGCGAAACTAGCCTTTTGTATCCGTGCTGAGATTTCGTCAGAGATCAATCCGTTGGGTTTGGCTGATAGTACTTCCCAAATAAGTGAAGCGGTCAACACGCTCTACCACTTTACTTCCTATTTCTAATCTAGGAGTCTGTGTAGTCCAGTCCTGTAACATCATCTTGCGTTTGGCGGGAGCGAATCGCATGCCAAACATTCGTAGATTGCAGCTCAAGGTGTTTAGAAGATTCTGCATTTTGTCAGCGTCCTCGCCTAGAAGGATTATATCGTCTGCATATTCTAAGTCAACGAGATTATTCCCTGGTAGCAAGTCAATCTCTGAGTCGCTAAAGTGAATTATGGTTAAGCCCATCAATACATCTACGGTGACGTTGAATAGAAAACGGGATAATGGGCATCCTTGACGGACACCACTAGTCGTCACCATTTCAGATGATAACTCGCCGTAAGCCCTCACCTGGCTGCATGAGTACGAGTAGAGTGCCTTAATCAGTGCAATGTATTTTCTCGGGATTCCCTTTACAGCCAAGCATCACCACGGTACCTCTCGGTCGACAGAATCGAATTCCGCCTTTAGGTCAAGAAATATAATGGTTGTTGGACGCCGGTAGGAGTGCCTATGTTCTAGAACCTCAGTTAATGCACACACTAAACTGTCTCCACCGTACTTAAGTACCTCTGGAGCCATTCCATCAGGTCCCGCTGCTTTGCCTTGTTTCAGATTGGTGACAGCTTTAGTAACCTCAGTTAAGGAAGGAGGACCTGTGTCTATATCCCACTCAGGGAGGTGTTGGATGTTCGGCAGGTTGAGCGTGGCTGTGGGCCAATTAAACTGCTCCTCATAGTGCTCTTTCCAGCGTTCCAGTCGTCTATCCTGGGAGCTAATTATGGTGCCATTTTTCTCCGAGATTGTTTCACTTATCATTTGCCTTTTGCCACCTGTTTCCCTGATAAGCCTAAATAGTTGTCTCCTACGAGAAACTGGGACCAGTTTTCACAGCACCTTAGAGATATATACCCTGTATAATTCAGTTTTATTACACATGTCATAAATACATTTAAAAAAGATAATAAATGCCAATTTTCTCCTGGAAGAGTATAATTGGTAAACTCAAAATCCTTTGACTTTGATGTCTGTTCTCTACTGTTGCCAGATATGTCAATTACAGAATAGTGTGTTTTGTGTCTAATTGGCAACTTGAAAATTCCTGGATATAATGTTCAGGTTAATAACTGTTGGAGAAAATAATACAATTCCTAATGATAGATACTAATGTAGTTAATAAGTGTGGACGTCCACTTTTTTGTTTTTTTTTGTTTTCGGAGTTGTTTAAACATTTTTTAGTAGCGTGTAATATTGGTGAAAATACTTGCCCTGCATATCTTAGTATAAATTGAAATATCATTTTAAAGTATTTCTATTTTAGCTGAACTCCCAGCTAAACGAAGACGTGGACAAATCTCATTATGGGTTCAGCTGTTAGCAATCAAGGTGTCTCCATCATTCTACACACAACTAACTGAACAAAATTTAAAAAATAAGGATGTAAACACTCCTGTGCTACCATCTCATGTCCAAAAGTTACAAGAAAACAACACGACTTTTAATTTCAGTGGTACAGAAAACTGTCAGTTTGAAAACTCTTGCAGGTCAGTATCTTATAAAATGTTAAGCCAGATGTTTGTTTTGCTAAATAAAATTTGTAGTCATTAACTCGGCTACGCAAAGATTCATTCTGATTGGATAATAAGCAAAGGAGCATTTGTTGCTAAGGTTTTATACAATCCGTAGTAATTTTGTGGGAAGCTGTATCGACCCTACCAAACCGGTTGCTCGTTTGGCATTTGTCAGTTGTCCTTTTTTGCGATGGTGTGATACCCAATCACTTTTCAAAGAATTCTTGTTTTACACAACACTTTGCTCCATTATGCTTTATGATAATGAGACGAAGGCAGATAATATACTATTGGCGGTTTATAACCATAGGTTTCTACGTTCAGTCTCTCGTGTTAGGCGGTGCAATATGATCGTTAATAATGTTAGGCGAAGAGCGGTAGTTATGCAGTAGGAATCAATCGATAAGATTGTATAGCGGCACAGATTGTAAGGACTAGAACGTGTGTTACACCACCTCCATCAACAAGTAATGTTAGCTAGTGTGTCACTAGACCGAAAAACGCTACCGATGATTAGATGAAAATGTGTCTATGATTTATCAAGTTTTTGACCCTCGGTTTGAGCCACATAGGGGGGTACAAATAATCAATAGTTGGAGACTGTCAGTGATAGCTCAAAATTGTTCACAATAATACAGATGTATGCACCTCTTGCGATCCTCCAGATTCTGTTAGTCCTCCTACTTACTGATTGAGTTCCGACATAGAGTTCTGCACAGAAGTGCAACAGTTCAAGTTACCACACTCCGAATTAGAGGGAAAATTGAAAGGAACCATAATCAGTGGAAATGTATGGTATAAGGAATAATTACGTGGAAGTTACAAAGAGCGAATGGATCTGTACCACTGAGGGTGACTTCAAGGCTTATCACCAACTACCCCAAACTATTGGTCCTCAGGATGCTGAGGACCGCATCTAGACAGTCTACACTTTCCTTCGCCTCTGAAACCAACATTGAGTGACTTCGTGGATTGATATCCTAACACGCCCAAACTAATCCTATACAAGCTAACAATGGTTGACATGCAAGGCAATAGCTTTGTACGCATAACGTGTGTGTTAGCCATCTCAGTCGATGCAGCTTCACAGTCTCATAGACTGACTTCCTTTGCCTAATTCTCAACTTATTATATGAATTAACATGTGAGATAGGAGGCAAATACCTTTGGCCAAAGACAGCTAACCTCTTCAGGTCTCCTACTTCCAATGGTATGTCACTGTCATAAAGAAGGATAGGCTGAATTGCTGTGCAGCGCACACTTCTTCTGAGTAGATTTGAAAGGATGTGTGATAAATTAGTAGCGAATATTTCAAAAATTGAAAATGAATTACATCCTTTCCATCAGAATGACTAATAATCAGCTGTAGAAATTAGTAACACTTTACGGCTTCGGAATCATGATGATTAAGTAGACAATAATAGCCTTAACAGTGGATACCATAACACTGATTTCTGCCTACTGGACGCCTTCTAAGTCAGTAGTTCCACTACTTTCTACCTGGAATCTTTACCAGAAATACTCTGTGGAAACAAATATGTCCACTTTATTATGTGACTCAGTATATTTACCGACATCTTGCCCGTATATTTAATACTTCATTAGCTAGTAGACTTGTAACTCACTAGTTAAGCAAAATTCCAAATTATTTTGATAAGTAAGCCACCGCTAAGCTTCTAGTCAGTAAACAGACAAGTCGACATAAAACTGCACAAAAGTGTATCAGTTATCGTCAATACCCTATAAAACCTAATCCGTGCTCAGAAAAGGTAAATTCGTACTTCACGTTTACCTTGGCCTACCATCAGGTTGTCGTAAACGTAGTCATCTCATATTGCCATCGCATACACCCTAACAATTTCCTCTCTGCTCTTTGTATTTACACTAAGCCTATCCTGTCTACATTACTTGATTACTGTTCATTATATGACTACTGTACTTTATCAACCTCATAATTATTGTCATTTGTTATCCATCGCTCTTACACTCAGCATAATCCAATTGTTTGTGTGTATATTTTTGTAGTATTCATACTTTGTCTCACATCACTGTATATTATTCAACGCCTTAAAGCTATAATTTTGTTAATTATAAGTATAGAAACAGTTCAGTTAATTGCATAATCTTATTTAGTCTCATCTGCCTATGGAATGTGCGCATTTAAATAATAATCAAAACCAGCGGGTTATTCTACCTTGCACTTGTATTTAAATATAGTATCTAATAAGATTTTGATTCGCCCTTACTGGCTGGCTGGTGTATTCCAAATTTGGTAGATTTATGACCATAGAGCCTGAAGAATTCTTAGGGAATCGTTGTTCGATATAACGATTCATATTCTGGATATACTATGGGGGGTATTTAAATTGCTGAGATCGGTCGCTTAGACAGAATTATTCGCATAGGAATTCGAACCTGCTACCCACTGGTTGGAAGTCAAGTACTACAGCCAATCAACCACATCTCCACCATTGACCTTTTGTCGATGTTTTGATTATTATATCTTTTTCTGATACCTGTTTCCATCCATTCGTCTGCCTAATAGCAATCTACGACTTTTAACTACATACTTTTCACTTTTTTCTTACTTCCTTTTACCCTCTACGTGGTAGAACTCATAGCAACTTGGATCATCTACCTTATAATAGTAATTCCCATCTTCATACTGTATCTGCTATCCGAAACAGGTATTGAATCATTCCTAACTGTTTTGACCATTAGATAAACAAGTATTCAGTTGTTACTTAAGAAAACGATACAATCCTAATAGAAAGTGTATTTATCCTCCACTGTGTGTGTGTTGTATATGTAATTTTATCGTGTAATAAAATGTTTTCTTCGGAATATTAGCAGCTGTAAAAAAAATAACTTAGGTGAATTGATTATACCAGGTTTTATGTGTATGACAGTATTAAAACAAGAAGAGTGTTTACAACATCTGTTCTACTTATCTTGAAAAAATTTTCTACTCTTAAGACAAGCAATTAGTATTATGAAGCTTTTTTGTTTCCTTAATCTTGTATAGTTTCTATTAGATAAGACGAATTCGTGAATTGTATTCAGTTGCAAGCAATGTACATTTTACTTAATAAGGGATTATAATTTATCAGGTGAAGCTGTGGTTCATTGGTGTGGTGTGCGCTTGCCTTTCAACCAGTGGATCACGGTTTCTCGAAACCTGTTCCACCCACAAAGTTCGGACAGCCAGGTAGTATCACTGACCCTCCAACATTAGGTGTGGCTCATTACCAGCTTCGTGGAATTGTAACTAGTTGCTGAGTAACGCTTTTATTTTTACTATAACTCAACAGATTCCTTTAGCCATATATATGAAGTTACTATTGTACTACTTCCGGAAACAAGCACTAAGATGCTTACTCATGAAATTCGCATTTCACAGTAAGAACCAACAGTATTTATCGTCACCAATTGTAGGTAACTGTGTCCAAATATCCTTCCTTTAAAGTCACAGAAACTTTGATGTATTAATCTGAGAGTGGAGAAATGAACTATTCTGTCTATGTGCCGCTTCTTTTCATTAAATGATAAATTATATGTATTACTAGAGCGTCGTTTGAACACCGATATGTGAAACGTAACAGAAATGTGTGTGACTGGTTGGTCAAGAAATAAATCCCTAACCCAATCAAAAATAAACCATAACTGCGCTATATTATTTTACCTGGTTAGATTGTATTAAATCCTTACTACACTAATAATTCTTTATTAAACAATAATCTCCTGTGTAAAGTCGTTAACATAGTGAGCAATATTAAGGTTAGGTGGGGAGTATGTGTTAGGTAAGGAGAGAAAATCCATCGGTGAGCTACATCGATTGAGAAGGCTCTAAGACACGTGCTACGTGTACCTAGCTTATTGCCTTCCCCGATGAATAATGTTAGCTGACTTAAGATTAGGTTGGAAAAGAGTTAGAAGTGGTCTGTATTTGATCATTGATTTCAGCGACGTAGGAAGGTGTCGACCGTCTGGTTTGAGACTATTGGTGATAATGCTCGAAATCGTTCTCAGTTGAACAGATGTAACTGCCTTTTCGTGATCTGAAATATCCATTCGATCCTAATGTTTTTGCATGTTATCACTCTTTCTCCCGTACAGTTCTGCTCATTTTATTTCTTTGAAAAGTTTTTTTTCATCTATCTTTGTGTGCTGCATTTCTATGCAGAGTTTTTTGTTGAATCTCAGTCACCAAATATATTAAGGTACAGTCGACTGTTGTTTTTATTGACTAAACTCATGAGACCCTCAGGAAACCCATTTCCTGTTCGTGATTCTAATCTATGTCGGTCACTGATGAAATTGGAAACTTCTAATAATCTATTCATACTGCGACTGAACCAATTTAGGTTTGAATTATTCATGTGAATCGGTCACCGAAAAGTAATTAATATGGTGGTTAACCTAGTCATGAGTATTTTAGCCTTATGGTTAAAGTACACATTCGAACGATAGACTTCGGTCAACTCTCCTAGTAACAGACAACTACTTTGGTCACCATCTAACACCGAACTCGTAGTTCAGTCTATGTCAACAGATTTTTTCCCATTCTTTTGCACTCTGAATGGAACATAAGGCTTCAAGCTTTGCATTTTCAGTGGCAACAGTGTGGTTTTTACTAGGTGTGGTTGCTAGCCTCACATACATACAACCTTCTGTCTTTACCGGTTACCTGAGGTTTACGATTGCGTCGGCCGGAAATCGAACGCGGACAACGTGCGTGTTTGGTGATCCTTCTATCATTGAGTTGTCGATGTGAACAGACTGGTGAATGCATAAATTTGTATGTCCTATACCAGTTCAGGATTTATTATTATGTTTATATGTATTGATGAATGTGCAAAATTCTCATTTTTGACCTAAATATAACAAGTTTCTTTTTCTTTTGTGTTTCCTGGAGATTACCATCATCTCCTGTATGGATAGATCATACTACTATATTCAAATCGACAGTAGACACTAAACAGTCAAATACAGATGATGTTAAACCAAAGGAAAGAGCTGTCAAAAGGGCTCGCAGTCACTGGGGTAAACTGCTTCTCCCGTTCACGTGTTGCTTCAAAGTATCTAAGAAAGCGCCTTCATCACCAAAAACTCAATCTCGAAACAGCATTGACAATCCCTCGAACGCCAATCAAATCAACAATGAGACAATATGTAATACAAATTCACAGTGCAATCTTCCCACAGAAACTCCCAGAATTCCTATTGTAAATTGTAAAAGTGACCAGGATACTCGAACGGCGAGTCGAGCTATACTGGACACCAAATCCCTTGAGTTTTATAACGCGATCCTTGAAAACAGTTCAACGCTACACGATGCAGTTGTCAAGTACTTGGAACAATCCTCAGGTGTCTTGGTACTGGACTATAAATTAGGTCATTTCTCTCGAACTTCCGCTAGTGTTCATTCTACTTCAGAATCAGTGCCTGCACTTTGCATCGTACTTGTTGCTACTCAATCAGAAATAATTAGACGACTATCTGAAGACTGTAACTTACACTCATCTATCATTGAACCGACATCAAAGGAAACCGATAGATCGCTACAATCTGACGAAGTTAAAACAATTCCAGATAAACTTATGCTAACTTCTAAACTCGCCGATGATCTTGCTACAGTTCTTATTCGTGCAGGTGTGTTGCAACAACTAGAATTACAAAATTTACGCTTATTGACTACATTAGATCCTAAAGAAGTTGAGATAGCAATCAAAGAACTTTTAGATATGGAAGAATAAATTTCAATCTAAACGAGAGAAGAAAGAAAAATCATTGTCTATATATAGATCAGTTATTTTGTGTAAAAAAAACTGTGATATGTTGTCTCCTTTACAGTTGATGCGTTGTAATTATTAACTATAGAAATTTTGTTATTATCACTTTTGGGTAAGTCTTCCACAGTTTCAGCATTTTCACTGATATAAAAAACTGCTACACTACAGTCATTGCAGCCCTTTTTTATATACATCTATCTTTCTATCACAGTTACTTTTGGAACTTTCATTCCTTATTCTATTGCTAGTCATTGCTGCTATCGTCTTTAAAAGACTTCAATTGTTAATAATACTCTGAATGCATTTCATTTTGTTAATTCTCAATTACATATTTCTCAAAAAGGCTAGATATTAAAAATTGTTTACGAGTTCTTCACGTTGTATGAATACGTCAGACTATATTTTTGATTAGTGTGAAGTATAGCGCAGCTGGGTGAGTATTTTTGTACAAGAACCACAAGATACGATTCATAAAGTCAGATAGTCATTCCAACAAGGCACATACAGATTGTGATCGTTAATATTTTTTAGTAAAACGGATTATCATGTATGCTAGGTAGGTATTTACTTCAACCCGAACAACTGTTGTTGTACTCCTTTAGGTTCACAGTCGAACATAGGGCTTCAATCTAGAGCTTTGAAGTTTCGGTAGTGTTTATTTTTACAGGATGGGGTTGTTAGCCTCATGCCCAACCTCCCTTCTTTCCTGGGATTACTACCGGCCAGGCAAGGTAAATGAGTGCGTCCGTCGGCGGGGATCGAACCCCAAACCACATGCATCGTTGGCCAACTGCGCATTCCGGACAAGTGTGCTGATTCGTAAGCATTCTTACATTCGGGACGTCCAATATGTTTGTGAAACAGTGAGTCATTTGAGCTTGTCTATTTAGCATCTAATCTACTATATAGTTGCATGCGATTGCCTAATTCATTATTCTACCTCTGTTGTTGGCTGTTTCCGCTTAACTATAAATATCTAATTTTTTTTCCTTCACTTTCCCAGTGGAACATAGGGCCTCAAGCTAGTGGCTTGAAGTTTCTGTAGCAGTGTTTAGTTTTACAGGATGAGGATTCTAGTCTCATGCCCAACTTTTCCGCTTTACCAGCATTACTTCTGGTTTAGCGAGGCAAAGGAGTGCGTCTGTGGTCGGGAATCGAACCCCAGACCCCATCCATGGTCGGCGAGCGTCCTAATCGCTGTGCCACCGACGCACTATATCTAATTTAACTTTTATTAATTATGTATGCCTAAGTTAGCTTAATAAATATATAAACTTACATTGCAGTTAATTGATGAATGGTGACTAGCAGTGGAATCCAGGATGTGTATTTCGTCTTGTTTGGGACTCGTCAGCTGGATGTGCCTGTGTTCCCCAGTCAGTGAGTGATGATGTTCCCACAGAGGATCGAACTCAGTGCCCATATTTTCAAACGCCGAGGCGTTATCCACTAGACCATTTGGGCCACAAGAGCCACTTCTTGTCCAACGGGTCATATTAATTATTTAATTCAATTTTGAATTTAGATTGCTAGTCACCATCCACCAATTAAATTCTAATTACATGACCAGACATCGTCGAAGCATCTGCACAAGAAGCCGCCGACATGTCAACCTGAGACTGAGCACTTCGGTCCAATCAATCGACAGGAAAATGTGAACTTGAATTAAATAAATACCTACATTGTAGGTTTACACATAATACTTCTAACACTAAAACTAATTACTACCTTCTGTTTGTTGGGCTGTATGAATTTTAACAGTAAGAATGGTTTATAGTCTGAACCATGAGAAACCTGTGAGTTGTTAATATTCGATCGTTGGAGGTAGTCGGCAAGAAGCCTTGGATCTCTTGTTTGTTCTCACTTGTCAGGAAGCAAGGCGTACTTACAATCTTAAAGGGGACTCATATCCCTTCTGAGATTCGAACCCGCGTTACCCAGTGTGTTGCAGTCAGAGATATTACCACTGAGCTATTCCTTCAACGTTGCAGATACGCCTTGCTGACGAATGCCAACTCTAGGTGTCCAAGGCTTCCTGCCGATTGTCTCCAACCATCTAATATCAACAATTCACAATGCAGTACATCGCGATAACGATTCACCTAGTGGCATGGTGGCCACCTTGCAAACTTGACTGCACCGAATAAAGGATTAGATACACTGCACTAGTTACTGGGGCTAGAGTCCAATCAAAACATTAGAAACTGGTTCTTGCGTAAATCAGCCCACACTATAACCGACCACTTTATATGTAGTTTTACATTCACAAACCGAATGACTGGAGTATATATATGAACACAATAATGTATTTTATTAAAAGTATAAAAAAATCTGGTTTATAAGTACAAAGGGATTGTAAGTCTGAAAAAGGTTTCGGTCATGTACAGAAAAAGAGAAAATGAAAAAAGGTACGTATGTGTGTATGTATATATAAGTATCAAAATGTTGTTTCTTATAATAAAGCGCGCGCGAGAGAGAAAGAGAAAGTTGTATAATGAATAATATTGCAGTGAAATATTAATGAAAACACACTCAATTGTAACCCACTACTCTTGGAAATGTAGTTGCTTTTGTCGGGATAACCAGCTCACGTGCACGTGGTCTATAGGAGAGACGATCTTTACGGAAATTCAAATCCATACTACCCAATGTTCCATCATAACGATTTTTTACAACCTAATAGTTTTTTTTTAAAAAAAGGAAACACAACAAATAAATCAATAAATGAACAATATTACTTGGGATAACTATTCGTCTGAATCATTAGAGGAGGATAAACAACACAACAAGTCAGTGTTAATTGTAAATTTACGGTAATTGTGTCAATCAATTATGTATGCATGATGGTGGCCGTGAGAATTTAAGAAAAAGAAGAAAAGAAACAACAAGCCTATAAGGTCAAAAGCACACGTACGCAATAAACAGTCTTTCTCCGGGTAAAATATCAGTTTATACAAATATCAATCCGTGAAGAGATCATCACATCCAAAGACTTAGTTTGTTTAATCTTCATTTTCTTTTTGCACATCTGGCATAAAAGTTATCAAATAACCAGTACACATCAATAGTATTATCTATTATCTAGACACACAAAGCTGAATAATAGTGCATAACAAAAACAAGACTGATGGAATAAGGGGTGTTTTAATTTTCAGAAAAAAAAGGGGAACAAATACGTGTTTTTCCCTCTAATAAAATAACACGCTATATGTGGGGCTAGTAGACAAAAACAAAAATCCTACAGATCAATCAATATATTATATTGCTTTGTCCTGATGAGCTCTGTTTACTTGAGGAGCAAAGAAAAATGAGTCAGCATTATTGACGAGACGAGACGAGAATGATAAAAATAAGTTGAAAGGTTGTTTTTTTTCTTCTGCGCTACTAATTTTTTCAGAAATTTTCTCGAGAGGAGGGAGGCAAGTGAGTAAGTAGTATTAGCTAACTCTATTGATCATCAGTTGAGGTAAAATAAATCAGGTACAAATTTCCTATTGGACCATATGAAAAAAAACTGTGTGTGTAGATAGTTTGCGAGTGGGTAGATGTCAAACCTAATTCTCCTTCTGAACAATAACTACTGGGAAAATGAGGGAAACATTAACTGGTTTTGAAATGTTTTCCGTATATCTAGCTGGGATTTCTTTCTCTAGTTGGATGGATACATCCGACTGGTCCAAGCTACCTACTGAAATAAGTAATAAAGTCTCATGAAAATAAATTAGTCAGACATGTTTTTGATTATAATATTTATTAGGTAAACAAAAAATTTGTCATATTGTCTAACATGATTATTATCTCAAAGAGGATTATGTTATTTTGAAAAGAATGCTGTAAACTGGAAAAATACGACTGACTGTAAATGCATTAAAAGATTCATTTATTGGCTATCAGTGTGGCAGATAGTATAGCTAACACTCTTTTTCATCTGATTTTGTCCTCTGAACTGGTTGATTTAATTGTGAAGCTTTCGTTATCCCTCTAGACGACGACGACGACGACATCTTCAGTGCAAGCTTTAATATGAAGTGAACTTATCTGAATTCTCTATGTGAATGATATAATTGTATCTCCTGACAACCTTTGTTGTGATTGTCAATAAAAAAACGATCAATAAAGATGTAAATTAACCACCAATCACAACAAAGCATATCAGAAGATACAATTATATCACATTAACATGGAGAATCCAAATAAGTTTACTTCGTATTAAAGTTTGCACTGAAGATTTGGTTTAAATAGGACAATGAAAGCTTTGCAACTAAATCGTCCAGCTCAGAGAACACAATCAAATCAAAATCATCCAACTATAAACCTACAAATCTTCCATATTAGATCATATTGCGTACATCTGGAATGGGTTGAAAGGTTGGATATCAGAAATTGAGCATTCTTCTTTCTTCTTGAACACTTACTGGATATTAAGCATGCAAATGGAGAAGAACTCAATACGCAATAAGTCTTCACTTAGTAGTCATATCAGCTCACTCAGAACATGTCATCAATCACTTCTTATAACAGTTGTTTGCAAAGATAACTTCTTAATTCAGCAAACGATTATCATATTTTATTTCATGCTCTGTATTCAATGAATTAAGAGAATACTACAAATTCGTCATTCATGAGAAAACAAGCTAATCAACACCGTAAACACTGATGATGGGTTTTTATCCAATATGACTAAATAAGTTGTAGTGTACCTTTCACGACTCCAAAAAAAATTTGGGTTACAAATCTAGATAAATACATCAGACTGAATCAACTTAATACTGCATGAATATAAACGTCTGTCTTCCCTGCGTGTTTTAAGTTTTGTTTTGACGAGTACGCATCCAACCAGGTTTAGACGCCATTTTGCACTCGTCCTTTGTGCTGATAACACGTAGACATCCTTAGAGTCCTTAGGTCAGTCAGATGAGTTCTGAAATCTTTTCCCCAAATAACCTTAATATTATATTCCATTTATATATGTTGTTACTCATCAGGGCACAATTCCAATTAACTGAGTCTTGTTGATTTGTGTTTTGTTATCAATACTTAAGCGTCTGGTTAGGCTGGTATAGTGTAGTATATCACCAGCACAAACAGTACCTTACAAGGTTGTCTTTATGACACCTGAGTTACAGTTCAAGTTGTTACATATTACATTATTATCATAACGAGAAATCAACAAATTTTCAGAAAACAAAATAATCGATGATAATGTAAATATTTGTGTAACTATTTATTGACTTTACTTCGTGTAACCAGGATTCTTCAATTTGGTCATCATTAATTAATTCTTACCGAATTTTACTTATAAGTCACTGAAGACAATAGCTGCAGATAGATTGTTACTAGAGTTCCTGGTAATCTTAAGCATGCAAAAGTATAACAATAAACGACTTTCAATGAGAGAAATCAGAAGAAAGTCACCTCTTTCATCACTTATCTAGGCAGTGTCGTTTCAACTACAGGCAACACAGATGAAAGTGTCAAAGCTAGTCAGGACTGCATCGGGAGAGCAAAACAGACACCTTTACTAACCTAAAATCAGTAAGGAAATATGCTGTACTCAACATTAAGAACAAGATTCAAATCTTTAACCCTAAAATATGAAGTCAGTGCTTCTATGTGTTTCATCACAAACAGCATTTCCAAAAGCCTGGTGCAGACTTTCATTAACAGCTGTCTTTACCCACTACTGAAGATCACATGGTCAGCCGGAAAGGTTAAGCAATATGAAACTCTGGCAGGCAGAGAATTGACTGAGGATCTACTGCTCAAGATATCCAGAGAGAAATAGAGATGGATTGGATACAGGTTGAGACTGTCGAGTGATATCACACATCATCGAATGGGAAACAAGTTGGGCGTGGGTCCGAGGGCGACAGAGAGGAGATTTCAGAATAGGAAAAATTCCCATTTAGACATTTATAAAGCAAAAGGATTGAGCAAAGGAACTTATTTTAAGATGTACAATGAATGTTCACTTCGTATTCAATAAAGAATACTACAGACAAACTAATGGGTGGCTATAGGTTCCCCACTAGGTTCATTCCTAGCTATTTTAGAGAATAGGCCGCTGAAAAGAGTAATTAAGGAGATGGATTTCTACTTTTGATATATGGATGATACATTTGTGGTTATGAAAAATGAGAATGAACATCCTCGACAAGTTTAATGATGCTCATTCAGCAATAAACTTCACCACAGAGAAAGAAAATAATGACATTATCTCATTCCTAGATATCTTCCTAGTCAGGAAAGAAGATGAAACATTAAGAAGGAGAGTGTATAGGAAACCTACGACAACATGTCAGTACACTTATTTTCTGAGTTTTGTACCTTTGAAATATAAACGTGACTTAGTAAAGTGTCTGGTTCATAGAACTAGGATAATCCGCTCAAACGACTCCCTCAATGAGGAGCTTAAGATTATTAGAGAATTACTTACGAAAAATGGTTATCCAGATAAGTTCATTGAGAAAAATATGAATTTATCACCAAGGAGAGTCGGTATATAGCAACAGCTCCAAAAAATCGTTGTTCATAAAACTGCAGTACCTCGGTGACAAAATCGTCGAAGTAGTAACATAGCGCCTGGAGAATGCAGTTTAAAAGAGCTTTCAATGAAGCAGAGGCACGTTGTCTCTTCACTGCCACCTCTATTTAACGTTCAAGAAATAAAGACAAACTTCCTAATTTTGCCTCCTCTATGTGTAACTACCAGTTTGACTGCAGCTGCGGAGCCAGCTATATCGGGCGTACAATTAGGCAGGTTTATCATAGTATCTCCGAACATCATCCGGCATGTTTAAGCAAAGAGACAAACAAGCTCTATGTTACCACACCTTGTAGATGGTGAGCATAAAGTTGATGTTAATACAGCATTTAAAATTATTTACCGCATTCCTACTAATTTTAATTTTGCTTTAGGAGTTCTTCTTCTACATACAGCTGAAGTCATAAGAAACCATCTGAAGAAGCCAAACCTGTGTGTTCAGAAGAAATTTGTACACCCTCTTTGCTTAGCCATTGTTACATGAATGTATAAACCGGGCTACTTCGCACCTGAATCCTTAAAAATTATAATTGTCCAAATTATTTTATTATTTTTCTAACTACTTCATCTTTAATTACATGTTATCATTGTTGTAATTATTTCTACCTTTTAATTGTTTGCATTATCTATCTTGGTTATTATCAAGCCGCGTGACACGTTGATATTGAGTAATTATTGTTAACAAACATATCGCCATTTGATGATTGGTAAATTTTTGTGTATTGTAATAAAAATGCTATGGATATATATTAGAGAGTAGAGTCAGAGATGGTGGTCTATTTCAAAAATAAATATTTCTTCTCTTAATCCTTTTGCTTTCTAGAGAGGAGATTGTATGAGAAGGAAATGAAAGTTTACAAGCAGGCGTGAAGAGCTACCTAAAAAACACCCTCAGAGGACAAAGTGAAATGGAGATGTGCTGCTGAAGTCATATGCTCCATCCAGAACCCAAGGGATATCATTAACTCAACAATACAGAAAAGTCATTCATCTTCTGAATCAGTGAATGAACTTTACACAGATTAGATACAGAGTATATGAATAAAAGAACTGTACACAGCTGTTTCGTGTGGAGGTCAATAACAGGTCACTCAGCATGAAAAATATGATCCGGATTTTCAACTCCAATGTG